GAACGGGGCACAGTCTGACGGCGTCCAGGGAGGCAAGCGGCTTCACCACAGACGGGGACCCACACGGCGCCAACAGGGTCCCCTTCAGACGCTCTGCGGATGACCACCACTGCAGCTCCACACCTACGCCGTCTCTCATCAGAGCTGTGCTCTCCCCCAGAGCCATCCCCGAAGATGTACAGGGGAGGCCCGACTGGGGCCGCACGGAGGTCCAGGAACCCACTTGCATGAGGGTAGCTTGAAGTGCTGCAATTGGGCCGCGTATACCCTTCCAATGTATAGTACGCCCGGTGGACGCCTTGACCTGCTTCCACACTCTCGACACACGACGGTGGAGCATGGGGTGTGAAATCCAAAATCGAAGCCATTCGGAGAGAACTTCACGTCGCAACTGAATTCCTGGGTCACCAGTCCCGAGGGTCACCTGCAACACCGTCTGCAAACAACGACCCCGCTTCGGCCCCGCGATAGCCGATGACGCCTGCCTGCGCAGGGTGGTGATGGTAGTGGGAGGTATACCGAAGACTTGGTGGCTGTACACCGCGGACGGCAAGACTCCAGTCCTCCATAATCCCCTCGCAACCTTCTGGCTCCCAGCCATCCTGCGCAATCGAGCGACCTTGGCACTGCGTGCCGAAGCTCGGAGCACTCTGCTGCGGAACTTGGTGCGAGTACGATGCCTGGACGCTGCTGCATCAACGCCCAGATCCACTTCTGCAGGAACGAAAGACACAGGTATCCCCCAGCTGTTTAACGTCGCCTCCAGTTCATGTCCAAGACCATCCTCGCACGCAATCAACTTAGTTTTGTCCGAAATAGTGAGCCGATGGTCAGCGAATGACTTGTAGAGAGAGCCAGCCGCCGCCTTCATATCCCCAACCACAGTGGCACGCACACCCTCAGCACGACAAACCGCGTCATCGATGAAGGTCCATAGGCCAGCCCTCGGACAGGCAACATGCGCCTGTTGAAGAAGGGCGTGCAACTTCACCTTGGCCATGTCCACCCCTCGTGGCGAGCCGGCAACAATAGACTTCCCTGGCTCGAGAGGCTCACTGATCAAGGCCCCCTTCTTGATTAAGCGGGGTGCCGCGCACATGCCAACTTCCAACAGCGTAATGATAGCAGGGTGCTGGAGGGAACAACTAGCTTTCATCAAAAGAACCAGGCTGACCGAGTCATAGAACTTCTGAAAATCCAAGAAAGAGTCGCGTACGATAGCCCCAAGGCGTTGGAACATTCGTCCATAACCGCTCGTGCCAATGCAGCACGTAGCGCCGGCGAGCCACCAATAGCCGTGTCCCAGAAGGGCCCCTGCTTCTGAGTCCAGGACGTGGATGGGGCAGCGCGCATTCGGCTCCAAACCTTGGCCGTGGTGGGCAGCAATCCCAAACTCCGATGACCTCCTGACTCTCTCGGGCTAGCAGCCCCAAGAACTGCAGATACCTCTTGAGGCCACGCACCTGCGCGCTCCACTTCACTGAGCAAGCAAAGAAACTCGCGACGTCCGACATCTGGTAACCGAAGCAAGTCGTTGGGCCCTAGGGTATCAACTCCTCGAGCCTTGCTGGATGACATAATACGGAGTGTGGCGTCAAGTTGCCCAAGCTCAAAGGTTGGCAGCCCCTGCTCGAGCGCGTCCTGATGCAACTGCCCCATCCATTAATGCAGATCAGCTTCAGTATCCACTTCTTCAGTCCATATCCCCTTCCAGAACTTCCGCTTCCCCTCAAGCAACAGCTGTGGGTGACTGGTAGTGAGGCCGCCAGGGAAAAGGCTTTCCCATTCAGGAGCAACATCAGGCTTCACTTGGCGGTGGGCAAGGCCTGGCTTGGTACGCCACTGCTCACAGATCCAGGCCATGAGGCTAGCTCTTGAGGCTGTCATTGCTCGGGAGGCGGCCCAGTCAGCCCAACGATGTGCGAGACCAATGGGAGAGCCCATAGTTTCACCATCAAGCTCATCCATATACTTGGCGTCCTCCGCCCAAGCAGACGCCAATTCAACCGAGGTCTTCTTGCCAAAGAACGCGTCCTTCTGGTTGAGGTCCAAGGTCCCCAGGTGCCGACAAAACTGCTCCACAACGCCTGTTGCCTGAAGATCATCATATCGATTGACCACACGAGAACGGCACCTGCCCAGCAACGTAGTGGCGACCCCCCCACCATTCTGCAAAGAAGTTCTTCATGTGTGTGCGCCCTGGGGCTGCCTTGAGCTTAGACCAATTGCGCACGGGGCCCGTTGCCCTTCCAACATACTGGTGCCGATCTCGACCCTCGACAGCTTCAACATCCCAAATGGCTTCCTCCACGGTGGCCACCCAGACTGCACGCCTGTCTGACGCTGCTTCGCGGTCGCAACTGCGCCAACGGAGAACTCGAAAATCGTCAACCTCCACAGCAGCTTCGACATCGCGAGGTCGAGACTGCCATGCGTGCGCACGAGCGCGAGCCGCTGCAGCTGCCAATGATTGGTCCTCGATGCCAGAGCCGAGGCAGGG